GTTCCCTGTGTCTTCCTTGGCTTTGTCCCTGACGCGCCTGGTTGGCAGTTTTACCACCCCACCTCGCGCCGTGTCTTCCCCTCTCAGGACGTCACGTTCGCCGAGTCGGTTCCCTTTTACCGTCTCTTCCCCTACCGCACTGCCCCTCTCCTCCCCCCGCCGCTCTTCCTCGCTCCAGGTGCTCCCCAGGTAGACCCCCTCCCCGCTCCCGGTCCTGCTCCTTCGGGTGTGTCTCAGGTAGACCCTCCTCCCTTGACTGAGTCGGTTGAGGTCACTGGTGACTCAGGTCCTGCTGAGGGTTGTCCTGCTCGGGGTGCTGCTGCTGGGGGTGCTGAGCCTGGGGGTGCGGAGCCTTGGGGTGCTGAGCCTGGGGGTGCGGAGCCTGGGGGTGCGGAGCCTGGGGGTGTGGAGACTGGAGGTGCTGAGCCTGGGCGTGAGGAGTCTGGGGGTGCTGAGCCTGGGGGTACTGAGTCTGGGGGTGCTGCACCTGGGGGCGCTGAGGCGTCTGGTGAGCAGTCTCCCTGGAGCGGCCGTCTCCGTAGTCGCTCCGCTGGTGCCTCGCCGCTGCACTCTCGTCGTCGTCTCCCTCTCTCCCCTCGGCAGCTGCGTGAGTGGTACGTCAGCCGTCAGGGTCGAGCTGCTGGAGCTAGGGGCCCTGCTGCGGGAGGCGCTGGAGCTGGTGACTCTGCTACTGGAGTTGTTTCTACTGGAGGCCCTGGAGCTGGAGGTGCCGGTTCTGGGGGTGCTACTGCTGGTGGCACTGGAGCTGGAGGTTCTGGAGCTGCTGCGGGTGCTGGCGCTGGAGGTTCTGGAGCTGTTGGAGGTGCTGGCACTGGTGGCGTTGGAGCTGGAGGTTCTGGAGCTGCTACGGGTGCTGGCGCTGGAGGTTCTGGAGCTGTTGGAGGTGCTGGCGCTGAGGGTTCTGAGTCTGCTGTTGCCCGGTCTCCTTGGAGTAGCCGCCTCCGTCCGCGTGTGCCTCTCACCTCACAGCAGTTGCACGACTGGTACGGTCGCCGTCAGGGTCGCACTTCTGGAGCTCGGGGCTCTGCCGCTGGAGGTACTTCTGCTGACGTCACTGGAGCTGGGAGTGGTGCTGGTCCCGGAGGTACTCGTACTGGAGGTACTGGAGCTGCTAGGGCTGGAGGTGCTGAGCCTGAGGGTGCTACTGCTGGAGACCCTGGGTCTGGGGGTGCTGCTGCTGGAGGCACTGAGGCTGGAGACCCTGGGACTGGAGGTGCCGGTTCTGGGGGTGCTGCTGTTGGTGGAGCTGGTCCTGGAGGAGCTGGCGCTGAGGGTTCTGGAGCTGCTGGAGGTGCTGGAGCTGCTGGGGGTACTGGAGCTGCTGGTGCTGGTGTCTCTGCACAGCCGCGCCTGTTCTTCGCTCCACCGTCTCCGTCGTCTCAGCCACCGCCTGACTCTGTGCTTCGCCAGGTTCTTAGTCTCCCTTCGTCTACTGGTCTTCCGTTACAGCCTGGCTCACCGCTGCCTGCTCCTTCTCCTTACACTGAGCAGCTAGGGAGTCTTACTGAGCGTCGTGAGCCTGCGTCGCGTCCTGTCTCGCCTGTCTGTTCTGGTCGTTCCGGTCGTCGTGTTCCTCGTCCGCGTCTGCCGACTGTCCCCGACACCCACCTCGTAGTCTGTCGTCCTTCTTCTCCTCCGCAGCGTGTTCCTCTGCCGTCTCCTCCTGCGTCTTCTCTGCCTGTCGTTGCGGACCCCGAGTCTGACCGGTTTCGTGCTGAGCACCCTACTGTCACGCGTCTGCTAGCCACTGTTGTCACTGACCCGTCTTTTGAGTCTGCTGCTGCGTCTGCCTTAGTCGCTGAGCTTGTTGACTTTGCTGCTGCCTGTCGTCTAGACTACCCCGCTAGTCTTGTTGCTGAGTCTGAGTCTGTCTGTCCTCCATCCGTCGGGGGTGAGTGTGCTCTTGGCACGGACGTCCTTGAGGACAGGCAGGAGGACCTTGAGTGTCTTGCAGCCGCTGCGCCTCATCTCGTGTCCATGCTGCTTGCCCCTGAGGGAGACCCGGATGCTCCAGACATCCCGACCCCGCGCTCTTACGCTGAGGCGATCGCGGGTGAGTACTCCTCTCAGTGGCAGACAGCCATGGACGCAGAGATGGCATCCTGGAAGTCCACAGGCACCTACGTCGACGAGGTTCCCCCTCCTGGGGCGAACATCGTCAGTGGCATGTGGATTTTCAGGGTGAAGCGGCCGCCAGGTTCTCCGCCTGTCTTCAAGGCTCGTTACGTTGCTCGAGGTTTCAGTCAGCGAGAGGGAGTTGACTTCTTCCAGACCTTCTCCCCCACCCCGAAGATGACCACTCTTTGGGTGCTGCTGCACGTTGCCGTTCAGCGTGACTACGAGCTTTACTCTCTTGACTTCAGCACAGCTTTCTTACAGGGCAGCCTGCACGAGGAGATCTGACTGCGCCGCCCACCTGGCTTCACTGGGTCGTTCCCTCCTGGTACCCAGTGGAGCCTCCGGCGGCCGGTCTACGGTCTCCGCCAGGCGTCGCGTGAGTGGCACGACAAACTGAGGACGACACTTGCGGCTCTTGGGTTTGCTCCTTCGACTGCTGACCCGTCGCTGTTTCTGCGCACCGACACTTCGCTGCCGCCGTTCTACATCCTCGTGTACGTCGACGACTTGGTCTTTGCCACTGCTGACACTGAGGCTCTCGCCCTGGTGAAGTCGGAGCTGCAGAAGAGACACACGTGCACAGACCTGGGTGAGCTGCGCAGTTACCTTGGCTTGCAGATCACCCGGGACAGAGCACGCCGCACCATCACACTGACTCAGTCACACATGGTGCAGCAGGTCCTTCAGCACTTTGGCTTCACCTGGTCCTCGGCACAGGCCACTCCTCTGGCTACAGGTCACTCGCTCTCAGCTCCACCTTCGGACGAGTCCGTAGAGCCGAGTGGTCCTTACCCAGAGCTAGTAGGCTGCCTCATGTACCTGATGACCTGCACTCGTCCTGACCTTGCGTACCCTCTTGGCCTTCTGGCTCGCTACGTGGCTCCTGGTCGGCACCGAAAGGTGCACATGGATGCTGCTAAGAGGGTACTGCGCTACTTGTGCAGTACATCGGGCATGGGGCTCGTGCTTGGAGGACGGGGCGACGTTGTCCTCACTGGGCACTCGGACGCTTCCAGGCTACGCAGCGGTCGTCACAGGGCTACACCTTTAGCCTTGGCTCTGGCTCTGTTTCTTGGCGGTCTACACGCTCGTCCTCTGTTCTCGGCTCCAGTTGTGAGGCTGAGATTTACGCCACAGCCATGGCTGCACAGGAGTTACACTGGCTCACCTACCTGCTGACCGACTTGGGAAAGAGGCCTCGTTCTCCTCCAGTGCTGTACGTCGACAACAAGGCCGCCATTCAGGGCTCTTGCTAGGATTTGGGCCTGTCTGAAAACACCAAAGTAAAAAATCGTTCCGTCTGACGATCAGACGGGCATATTTTTCTGGTCTGATTTTCCAGACGAATGTTGGAGCTTAGTCTGATTTTTCAGCCTATTTAATTCGCATAGTCTGATTCAGCTAACACCCTTGTCTAGCATAATCACACTTGTTTTTGTTAATGAACGCACCCCTGGCGCGGCGCTGACAGCTCGCTAGCTGACACGCGTGTGGCTGTTGAGGGGCATGCACGTGGCATTGAGGTGCTGCGAGGGATCAGGTTGGGTGGAGGGACGCGAGAAGAAAGGGGGGGGTTGTGCTGTTGCGAGACTTCACGTGGGGCATGGGGAGGGGACCTGGGGAGGGGACCTAAGGCTGGGGGGAAGGGGGAGAAGGTCTGGACTAGGCCTGGAAGAGGAGCGAGGGCATCGAAAGGGGGCTTAGAGAAGCGAGGGATCGGGGGGGGGGAGGGGAGGGGGTTCGGTATCAGACGAATTGCAACCCGCTATCTGAAATTTCAGACTAAGTATTAGGCTTGCTCTGAAAAATCAGATGAACTAAATTTCATAATCTTACGGATCAGACGAAGTAAAAATCCTCGTCTTGAAAATCAGATGAAACCCAAAATCAAGGTCTGAAAATCAGAAAATCAGACCAATTTGGTCTGATAACGAGAGCCCTGCCGCCATTGCCTTGTGTCAGGAGCACAGACTGGAGCACAGAACGAAGCACATCGCTCTGCGCTACTTCCTTGCTCGAGAGTTGCAGCAGCGTGGTCAGCTTCGTCTTGCTCACGTAGCCACTCGGGCCAACACTGCTGATATATTCACCAAGGCGGTTCCGTCTGGTGATCATCAGCGTTTCTGCACTCTGTTAGGCCTTGTGCCCACGTTTCCTCACTTGCTGTAGACTTTGCTTGTACTGTGATCTATATATATACCTGCATGCTTGCTCTGCTAGGTAGATGTGCTGTTGTTGTTGCATATATACCTCTGCATGTGAACAGGCCTTGTGGCCCTTTGCTTGTGCTCAGTGTGTGTGATGACGTTGTGATCCACCCTGAGCTTGCTTTGCTTTTCTTGACTGGTCTTGTGACCCCTTGCTCTCCCCCACTTTACCTATGGGGGCGTGTCAAAGTATATGCATGTTATATATGTGTAGGCTGTAGTGGGGTAGCCAATATGGGGTACAACCCTTTTTAGGGTTTCATACTTGTACCCAACTCTTTCATAGTTCATTCATTCCTGTCTCTAGATTCTAACAATCCACTACCAACTCTAGCAGGCTTATTCTATCTAAGGACCCTTATTCACACAACTACAACTGATGAGGTCTTGATTGACTTTATTCGTGTCCTTGCCTGGCCATATGACCCAAAACCAGGTTAGACTGAAAAGTTCCAGTTCAAAGCTGGAATCATTCATCCGACGATGCAGCCGCATGCTTATGGGTTGTCGGAGTTACTAGAAGTTTCTCAATCTGCTCTTCGGCATGCAACACAAAGAAAACATTTCAAAAGGGGAAGAAAATAGGGGTGAGAGAAGCTGCTTTTTGCCGTAAGCCACAATCTCTAAACCAATACCGTACTGACATGTTGGAAATCAATTTGTAGCCTTGGCCCTTTGAAAGGTGGCCCTGACAGCACTGACCCGGGTGAGCAGGTGCTGCTGCTCTGCCGCCATGTGCCGGCCCGCCTGCAGCGACTCCTCCAGTGACCCCAGCTGCACCCCCAGCTCGCCCACTGACGTCAGCAGCTCCTCTGCTATCACCTGCCGCTCCACCTGCCTCCTCATACGCCCCTCCCGAGCCACCACTCCCACCCCCCCCACGTACGCCCCAATCTCGCCACCTCCTACCACTGCATGCAACTCCACAGGCGACCCCTCGTGCTGCCTGCCGCCCTCTCTCTCCCCAACCCCCCTCAGAATCCGTTCCCGCTCCTCCGCTGCTGCTTCCACTGCCTCTTGCAACATCCTCTCCTGCTCCTTCCTCTCCTTCCCCCTCCTCCCACTGCCCACCGCACTGGCCTCCACCACTGCTGTCACAGGGCTGCTGCGGGCAGTGGGGGCGGGAGGGGCGTGCGAGGGGGTAGCCATGCCGCGCCACACGGAGGAGGCGATTGCCATCACAGCCGTTGCCGTCGCACCCGCTGCTGCCACCCCCACCTCCGCCATGCCCACCGCCACACTCACTCCCACGCCCCCCTCACTCCCCCCATCACGCCCCCTGCCCCCCGCCTCAACCGTCTTCCCCTTGCCCATCTGCACCCCCGCCCCATCGCCTCCTGCCCGCACCCCTGACCTCTCAGGACCACCGCGCACCACACGCCCAGCTTCCCTCTCCATCCCGTCCTTCCTGCCCTCTACCTCCCCTTTGCCTCCATCTCTCTCCTCCTTCCCACCTCCTCCCGTGGCCTCCTTACCCTCATCCGCCTCCGCCTCGCTGCCCCCCACACCACGCCTCATGCCTGCGTCCCCCCCCCCCTCACCACCACCGCCGCGGCTCTTGTCGTCGTCCAGCGAGCGGGCGAGCCCCGCCACGAGCGACCCCAACACGTACGCCGTGGCCACGTGCCCGCGCTTCACCGCCCTCGCCACATCTACTGGTCTGCTCCCCGCCCTCCCGCGATCCCCCCTCCCCCTCACGCCTGCTCCCCTGCCCCTGCTGCTCTCCCCCTCTGCGCCCTCCGCGTCCCCTCTGCCTGCCACGTGCCCCGCCTTGTCACCCGATGCCGCCCGCCTTGCCTTGGCACCGCCAGCAGTGGGGGCGTGCAGGGAGGGCTGGGGGTGGTGCGCGGTGGGAGGTGGCACCACAGACTTGAGTGCATGCACCAGCAACCCCTTTCCCACCTCACTGCCCTCCTTCGCACCTCCTCCCGGTGCCGCTGCCTCCTTCCCTCCTCGCACATCCGCTCTTGCCCAGCCTGCCTCCCCTCGCCCTCTCACGCCATCACTCCTCTCGCCTGCCTTGGCACCTCCTGCCGCCACCTCCACAGCAGCCAGGCCTTTCTTCCGCCCCACGTCCTTGTGTCTCCCCCGCGCATCCTCCCCAACCTGCAACTTCTCCCCCTTCTCCCCATGCTCCCCCCTCTCCGCCCTTTCCGCCCTCTCCCCCTTGCCCGCGCGCCCAGCAGCAGCAAGGCCAGCAGCGGGGGCAGCAGGGGGGGCCGCCATGCTGCGCCTGGTAGCAGCAGAGGGGGCAGTGGCGGGCGCAGCAGCAGCAGGGGCAGCGGTGGCGGGGGCGGACGAGGGCGTGGCGGAGGGGGGGGAGCGGGGGAGGCGGAAGGGTTGAGGGGGGTGCAGGGAGAAGAAGCGGTGGCGCAGGGCGCGGGCTGCTGATGGCCGCCCCATGCCAAACACTGGAGAAGGGGGAGGGGGTTGTGGCGAAGCAGGGGAGGGAGAGAGAAAGTTAGAGGGCGAGTGACACATGCGTTGTAGCTCTCAGTGAAAGTGTACTCTAGTGTGATACAAGGGCATCTGTTGTAGGAGCTGGCGAAGGTTCATTGATGGCACTGCAACATGCACTCACTGCTCCGTGCCACTCTCCACACACACACAGGCAGCGAGGCAGAGGCAGTGCGAGGCAGTGTGGGCAGAGGCAGTGCGGGCAGAGGCAGTGCGGGCACAAGCAGTGCGAGGCAGTGAGGCAGTGTGGTTGAGGCGCGCAACGCACCGCTGGGCCACACGGCATGGTCGTGGTTGGGTCGCTTCTGCAGCAGCTGCTGTGCCAAGTCAAAAGCTGCTCCGCCTGCCATGGCACACACACACGTGGACGAGGGAGCAGGAGGGCGCGAGGCGAGAGGTCCAGGGAGGGGGATTGAGTAGGCGAGGATGGGCAGTTGAGACGGTTATCCAAACAGATGCACGCAACCCACGGCAGATTCGCCTCAGCGCAGTGCCATGGCATGCTGTGCACTCACACACTAGGGTGAAGCGGCAGCAGCATACCATGGGCGTCAAGCAGGGCCATGTCAGCGTTGGAGGGACGAAACTTCTTCCGCCACTTGCTCAGGTCGTAGTCGCAGCGCTTCAACTCGTTGTTGAACCCCTCCTGGTGGACCCATCCCAACCCCGCATGCACAGCCCGCACATAACACAACGCCACGTGCAGGCATAGGCAACCCAGCGCAGAAACGCACAGATTTAGAGGACAGGGCATGGCATCGCATGGTGTGGCATGGCATCATGACGTGGCATGGCAGGGCGGGTGGCGGGTGAGGGAGGGGGAGGGGTGGGAGGGGAGGGGGCCGGAACTGACCAGGTTGGCCTCATGGCGCAGTGACTTGAGGGACAGCTGCATCAGCACCACGCCCTGCTCGCATAGGGGGGGCATAGAGGGGCGCGCAGACAAGGGAGCGGGGAGGAAGGCAGAAACGGAGCAAGTTAGGCATTTCAAGGGGTGACGGAGATGGGGAGGGAATAGTACTGGCGCTTGTGAGAGAAGGTGAGGATGCAGGGGGAGGGGCGTACAGCGGAGGCAGCAGGGGGAGGGGCGTACAGCGGAGGCAGCAGGGGGAGGGGCGTACAGCGGAGAAGACATCAAATCTGTCGGGGGAGTTGGCCACCCAGAGGAAGGGCGACAGCAGGCTCGCCAGCGGGTCGGGCGGCAGGTGCGGCGTGGTGGCGGGCGGCATGACAAAGCGCTCAGGGGCGGCGTACTTGGGATCCATCACCGTCTCACTGGGCACCTGCGGGCGGGGGAGGGCGGCATGCAGACGGCACGGGTGAAGAGAGCGGCAGTGGTGCACCAGAGGGATGAATAATTAGGGTGCACACACAACGCAGGGACGTATATAGCCACGGCGCACACAGTGGGGGACGGAGGGACGTACATAGTTGCGGCCGGAGCGCAGGTCCACACAGGCGCCGAGGTCGATGAGGCAGAGGTGGCGCTCGCCCTCGTCCACCACCAGGTTGGCCGGCTTCACGTCCCTGTGCACCACTCCTGTGCGGCACCCATGGCACATCCCACGCCCACCCCGTGCATAGCGCACGTGGCACATGGCACACAGCACATAATACACGGTGAGTGGGATGCATGCGTGCATGGATAAGATGGACGGAGCAGCACGGCGACAAGGAAGAGCACATGGAAAGGGGGGGCTTCGGGGGAGGGAAGGGGTGGAGCAAGGAGTGGAGGGGAGGGGGGGCGGACCTGCGTGGAGCAAGGAGTGGAAGGGAGGGGGGGGCGGACCTGCGTGGAGCAAGGAGTGGAAGGGAGGGCGGACCTGCGTGGTGCAGGGCGCGGAGGGGAAGGGGGGGCGGACCTGCGTGGTGCAGGGCGCGGAGGGGAAGGGGGGGCGGACCTGCGTGGTGCAGGGCGCGGAGGGGAAGGGGGGCGGACCTGCGTGGTGCAGGGCGCGGAGGGGAAGGGGGGGCGGACCTGCGTGGTGCAGGGCGCGGAGGGGAAGGGGGGCGGACCTGCGTGGTGCAGGGCGCGGAGGGGAAGGGGGGCGGACCTGCGTGGTGCAGGGCGCGGAGGGGAAGGGGGGCGGACCTGCGTGGTGCAGGGCGCGGAGGGGAAGGGGGGCGGACCTGCGTGGTGCAGGGCGCGGAGGGGAAGGGGGGGCGGACCTGCGTGGTGCAGGGCGCGGAGGGGAAGGGGGGCGGACCTGCGTGGTGCAGGGCGCGGAGGGGAAGGGGGGCGGACCTGCGTGGTGCAGGGCGCGGAGGGGAAGGGGGGCGGACCTGCGTGGTGCAGGGCGCGGAGGGGAAGGGGGGCGGACCTGCGTGGTGCAGGGCGCGGAGGGGAAGGGGGGCGGACCTGCGTGGTGCAGGGCGCGGAGGGGAAGGGGGGCGGACCTGCGTGGTGCAGGGCGCGGAGGGGAAGGGGGGCGGACCTGCGTGGTGCAGGGCGCGGAGGGGAAGGGGGGCGGACCTGCGTGGTGCAGGGCGCGGAGGGGAAGGGGGGCGGACCTGCGTGGTGCAGGGCGCGGAGGGGAAGGGGGGCGGACCTGCGTGGTGCAGGGCGCGGAGGGGAAGGGGGGCGGACCTGCGTGGTGCAGGGCGCGGAGGGGAAGGGGGGCGGACCTGCGTGGTGCAGGGCGCGGAGGGGAAGGGGGGCGGACCTGCGTGGTGCAGGGCGCGGAGGGGAAGGGGGGCGGACCTGCGTGGTGCAGGGCGCGGAGGGGAAGGGGGGCGGACCTGCGTGGTGCAGGGCGCGGAGGGGAAGGGGGGCGGACCTGCGTGGTGCAGGGCGCGGAGGGGAAGGGGGGCGGACCTGCGTGGTGCAGGGCGCGGAGGGGAAGGGGGGCGGACCTGCGTGGTGCAGGGCGCGGAGGGGAAGGGGGGCGGACCTGCGTGGTGCAGGGCGCGGAGGGGAAGGGGGGCGGACCTGCGTGGTGCAGGGCGCGGAGGGGAAGGGGGGCGGACCTGCGTGGTGCAGGGCGCGGAGGGGAAGGGGGGGCGGACCTGCGTGGTGCAGGGCGCGGAGGGGAAGGGGGGCGGACCTGCGTGGTGCAGGGCGCGGAGGGGAAGGGGGGCGGACCTGCGTGGTGCAGGGCGCGGAGGGGAAGGGGGGCGGACCTGCGTGGTGCAGGGCGCGGAGGGGAAGGGGGGCGGACCTGCGTGGTGCAGGGCGCGGAGGGGAAGGGGGGCGGACCTGCGTGGTGCAGGGCGCGGAGGGGAAGGGGGGCGGACCTGCGTGGTGCAGGGCGCGGAGGGGAAGGGGGGCGGACCTGCGTGGTGCAGGGCGCGGAGGGGAAGGGGGGCGGACCTGCGTGGTGCAGGGCGCGGAGGGGAAGGGGGGCGGACCTGCGTGGTGCAGGGCGCGGAGGGGAAGGGGGGCGGACCTGCGTGGTGCAGGGCGCGGAGGGGAAGGGGGGCGGACCTGCGTGGTGCAGGGCGCGGAGGGGAAGGGGGGCGGACCTGCGTGGTGCAGGGCGCGGAGGGGAAGGGGGGCGGACCTGCGTGGTGCAGGGCGCGGAGGGGAAGGGGGGCGGACCTGCGTGGTGCAGGGCGCGGAGGGGAAGGGGGGCGGACCTGCGTGGTGCAGGGCGCGGAGGGGAAGGGGAGGCGGACCTGCGTGGTGCAGGGCGCGGAGGGGAAGGGGGGCGGACCTGCGTGGTGCAGGGCGCGGAGGGGAAGGGGGGCGGACCTGCGTGGTGCAGGGCGCGGAGGGGAAGGGGGGCGGACCTGCGTGGTGCAGGGCGCGGAGGGGAAGGGGGGCGGACCTGCGTGGTGCAGGGCGCGGAGGGGAAGGGGGGCGGACCTGCGTGGTGCAGGGCGCGGAGGGGAAGGGGGGCGGACCTGCGTGGTGCAGGGCGCGGAGGGGAAGGGGGGCGGACCTGCGTGGTGCAGGGCGCGGAGGGGAAGGGGGGGCGGACCTGCGTGGTGCAGGGCGCGGAGGGGAAGGGGGGCGGACCTGCGTGGTGCAGGGCGCGGAGGGGAAGGGGGGCGGACCTGCGTGGTGCAGGGCGCGGAGGGGAAGGGGGGCGGACCTGCGTGGTGCAGGGCGCGGAGGGGAAGGGGGGCGGACCTGCGTGGTGCAGGGCGCGGAGGGGAAGGGGGGCGGACCTGCGTGGTGCAGGGCGCGGAGGGGAAGGGGGGCGGACCTGCGTGGTGCAGGGCGCGGAGGGGAAGGGGGGCGGACCTGCGTGGTGCAGGGCGCGGAGGGGAAGGGGGGCGGACCTGCGTGGTGCAGGGCGCGGAGGGGAAGGGGGGCGGACCTGCGTGGTGCAGGGCGCGGAGGGGAAGGGGGGCGGACCTGCGTGGTGCAGGGCGCGGAGGGGAAGGGGGGCGGACCTGCGTGGTGCAGGGCGCGGAGGGGAAGGGGGGCGGACCTGCGTGGTGCAGGGCGCGGAGGGGAAGGGGGGCGGACCTGCGTGGTGCAGGGCGCGGAGGGGAAGGGGGGCGGACCTGCGTGGTGCAGGGCGCGGAGGGGAAGGGGGGCGGACCTGCGTGGTGCAGGGCGCGGAGGGGAAGGGGGGCGGACCTGCGTGGTGCAGGGCGCGGAGGGGAAGGGGGGCGGACCTGCGTGGTGCAGGGCGCGGAGGGGAAGGGGGGCGGACCTGCGTGGTGCAGGGCGCGGAGGGGAAGGGGGGCGGACCTGCGTGGTGCAGGGCGCGGAGGGGAAGGGGGGCGGACCTGCGTGGTGCAGGGCGCGGAGGGGAAGGGGGGCGGACCTGCGTGGTGCAGGGCGCGGAGGGGAAGGGGGGCGGACCTGCGTGGTGCAGGGCGCGGAGGGGAAGGGGGGCGGACCTGCGTGGTGCAGGGCGCGGAGGGGAAGGGGGGCGGACCTGCGTGGTGCAGGGCGCGGAGGGGAAGGGGGGCGGACCTGCGTGGTGCAGGGCGCGGAGGGGAAGGGGGGCGGACCTGCGTGGTGCAGGGCGCGGAGGGGAAGGGGGGCGGACCTGCGTGGTGCAGGGCGCGGAGGGGAAGGGGGGCGGACCTGCGTGGTGCAGGGCGCGGAGGGGAAGGGGGGCGGACCTGCGTGGTGCAGGGCGCGGAGGGGAAGGGGGGGCGGACCTGCGTGGTGCAGGGCGCGGAGGGGAAGGGGGGCGGACCTGCGTGGTGCAGGGCGCGGAGGGGAAGGGGGGCGGACCTGCGTGGTGCAGGGCGCGGAGGGGAAGGGGGGCGGACCTGCGTGGTGCAGGGCGCGGAGGGGAAGGGGGGCGGACCTGCGTGGTGCAGGGCGCGGAGGGGAAGGGGGGCGGACCTGCGTGGTGCAGGGCGCGGAGGGGAAGGGGGGCGGACCTGCGTGGTGCAGGGCGCGGAGGGGAAGGGGGGCGGACCTGCGTGGTGCAGGGCGCGGAGGGGAAGGGGGGCGGACCTGCGTGGTGCAGGGCGCGGAGGGGAAGGGGGGCGGACCTGCGTGGTGCAGGGCGCGGAGGGGAAGGGGGGCGGACCTGCGTGGTGCAGGGCGCGGAGGGGAAGGGGGGCGGACCTGCGTGGTGCAGGGCGCGGAGGGGAAGGGGGGCGGACCTGCGTGGTGCAGGGCGCGGAGGGGAAGGGGGGCGGACCTGCGTGGTGCAGGGCGCGGAGGGGAAGGGGGGCGGACCTGCGTGGTGCAGGGCGCGGAGGGGAAGGGGGGCGGACCTGCGTGGTGCAGGGCGCGGAGGGGAAGGGGGGCGGACCTGCGTGGTGCAGGGCGCGGAGGGGAAGGGGGGCGGACCTGCGTGGTGCAGGGCGCGGAGGGGAAGGGGGGCGGACCTGCGTGGTGCAGGGCGCGGAGGGGAAGGGGGGCGGACCTGCGTGGTGCAGGGCGCGGAGGGGAAGGGGGGCGGACCTGCGTGGTGCAGGGCGCGGAGGGGAAGGGGGGCGGACCTGCGTGGTGCAGGGCGCGGAGGGGAAGGGGGGCGGACCTGCGTGGTGCAGGGCGCGGAGGGGAAGGGGGGCGGACCTGCGTGGTGCAGGGCGCGGAGGGGAAGGGGGGCGGACCTGCGTGGTGCAGGGCGCGGAGGGGAAGGGGGGCGGACCTGCGTGGTGCAGGGCGCGGAGGGGAAGGGGGGCGGACCTGCGTGGTGCAGGGCGCGGAGGGGAAGGGGGGCGGACCTGCGTGGTGCAGGGCGCGGAGGGGAAGGGGGGCGGACCTGCGTGGTGCAGGGCGCGGAGGGGAAGGGGGGCGGACCTGCGTGGTGCAGGGCGCGGAGGGGAAGGGGGGCGGACCTGCGTGGTGCAGGGCGCGGAGGGGAAGGGGGGCGGACCTGCGTGGTGCAGGGCGCGGAGGGGAAGGGGGGCGGACCTGCGTGGTGCAGGGCGCGGAGGGGAAGGGGGGCGGACCTGCGTGGTGCAGGGCGCGGAGGGGAAGGGGGGCGGACCTGCGTGGTGCAGGGCGCGGAGGGGAAGGGGGGCGGACCTGCGTGGTGCAGGGCGCGGAGGGGAAGGGGGGCGGACCTGCGTGGTGCAGGGCGCGGAGGGGAAGGGGGGCGGACCTGCGTGGTGCAGGGCGCGGAGGGGAAGGGGGGCGGACCTGCGTGGTGCAGGGCGCGGAGGGGAAGGGGGGCGGACCTGCGTGGTGCAGGGCGCGGAGGGGAAGGGGGGCGGACCTGCGTGGTGCAGGGCGCGGAGGGGAAGGGGGGCGGACCTGCGTGGTGCAGGGCGCGGAGGGGAAGGGGGGCGGACCTGCGTGGTGCAGGGCGCGGAGGGGAAGGGGGGCGGACCTGCGTGGTGCAGGGCGCGGAGGGGAAGGGGGGCGGACCTGCGTGGTGCAGGGCGCGGAGGGGAAGGGGGGCGGACCTGCGTGGTGCAGGGCGCGGAGGGGAAGGGGGGCGGACCTGCGTGGTGCAGGGCGCGGAGGGGAAGGGGGGCGGACCTGCGTGGTGCAGGGCGCGGAGGGGAAGGGGGGGCGGACCTGCGTGGTGCAGGGCGCGGAGGGGAAGGGGGGCGGACCTGCGTGGTGCAGGGCGCGGAGGGGAAGGGGGGCGGACCTGCGTGGTGCAGGGCGCGGAGGGGAAGGGGGGCGGACCTGCGTGGTGCAGGGCGCGGAGGGGAAGGGGGGGCGGACCTGCGTGGTGCAGGGCGCGGAGGGGAAGGGGGGCGGACCTGCGTGGTGCAGGGCGCGGAGGGGAAGGGGGGCGGACCTGCGTGGTGCAGGGCGCGGAGGGGAAGGGGGGCGGACCTGCGTGGTGCAGGGCGCGGAGGGGAAGGGGGGCGGACCTGCGTGGTGCAGGGCGCGGAGGGGAAGGGGGGGCGGACCTGCGTGGTGCAGGGCGCGGAGGGGAAGGGGGGCGGACCTGCGTGGTGCAGGGCGCGGAGGGGAAGGGGGGCGGACCTGCGTGGTGCAGGGCGCGGAGGGGAAGGGGGGCGGACCTGCGTGGTGCAGGGCGCGGAGGGGAAGGGGGGCGGACCTGCGTGGTGCAGGGCGCGGAGGGGAAGGGGGGCGGACCTGCGTGGTGCAGGGCGCGGAGGGGAAGGGGGGCGGACCTGCGTGGTGCAGGGCGCGGAGGGGAAGGGGGGGCGGACCTGCGTGGTGCAGGGCGCGGAGGGGAAGGGGGGCGGACCTGCGTGGTGCAGGGCGCGGAGGGGAAGGGGGGCGGACCTGCGTGGTGCAGGGCGCGGAGGGGAAGGGGGGCGGACCTGCGTGGTGCAGGGCGCGGAGGGGAAGGGGGGCGGACCTGCGTGGTGCAGGGCGCGGGAGGGGAAGGGGGGCGGACCTGCGTGGTGCAGGGCGCGGAGGGGAAGGGGGGCGGACCTGCGTGGTGCAGGGCGCGGAGGGGAAGGGGGGCGGACCTGCGTGGTGCAGGGCGCGGAGGGGAAGGGGGGCGGACCTGCGTGGTGCAGGGCGCGGAGGGGAAGGGGGGCGGACCTGCGTGGTGCAGGGCGCGGAGGGGAAGGGGGGCGGACCTGCGTGGTGCAGGGCGCGGAGGGGAAGGGGGGCGGACCTGCGTGGTGCAGGGCGCGGAGGGGAAGGGGGGCGGACCTGCGTGGTGCAGGGCGCGGAGGGGAAGGGGGGCGGACCTGCGTGGTGCAGGGCGCGGAGGGGAAGGGAGGCGGACCTGCGTGGTGCAGGGCGCGGAGGGGAAGGGGGGCGGACCTGCGTGGTGCAGGGCGCGGAGGGGAAGGGGGGCGGACCTGCGTGGTGCAGGGCGCGGAGGGGAAGGGGGGCGGACCTGCGTGGTGCAGGGCGCGGAGGGGAAGGGGGGCGGACCTGCGTGGTGCAGGGCGCGGAGGGGAAGGGGGGCGGACCTGCGTGGTGCAGGGCGCGGAGGGGAAGGGGGGCGGACCTGCGTGGTGCAGGGCGCGGAGGGGAAGGGGGGCGGACCTGCGTGGTGCAGGGCGCGGAGGGGAAGGGGGGCGGACCTGCGTGGTGCAGGGCGCGGAGGGGAAGGGGGGCGGACCTGCGTGGTGCAGGGCGCGGAGGGGAAGGGGGGCGGACCTGCGTGGTGCAGGGCGCGGAGGGGAAGGGGGGCGGACCTGCGTGGTGCAGGGCGCGGAGGGGAAGGGGGGCGGACCTGCGTGGTGCAGGGCGCGGAGGGGAAGGGGGGCGGACCTGCGTGGTGCAGGGCGCGGAGGGGAAGGGGGGCGGACCTGCGTGGTGCAGGGCGCGGAGGGGAAGGGGGGCGGACCTGCGTGGTGCAGGGCGCGGAGGGGAAGGGGGGCGGACCTGCGTGGTGCAGGGCGCGGAGGGGAAGGGGGGCGGACCTGCGTGGTGCAGGGCGCGGAGGGGAAGGGGGGCGGACCTGCGTGGTGCAGGGCGCGGAGGGGAAGGGGGGCGGACCTGCGTGGTGCAGGGCGCGGAGGGGAAGGGGGGCGGACCTGCGTGGTGCAGGGCGCGGAGGTTGGAGAGGATCTGGCGCATGACGGTCTGCGCCACCTCCCACTCCACCCACGTGCGCTGCTCCTCCGACCACCCCCCCGCGTCCCCCTGCACGCCCAGCAGCATGGCGGCCAGCGGCGCGGGGTACTGGCGGTCCTTGAGGTGGCGGTCCAACGTGCTGTCGCCCTGGTGCTGCCACACCAGCCACACTCCCTGCCCGTCGCCATGCACGCACGCACCACACCCCACACCCCACGCAGAGCAGAGAGAAGGGCAGCGGGCAAGAGGCAGTTAAAGCTTTCGTATACATTTGAAAAAGGGAGGTTCAAAAGTTTTGAAATCTGAAAGATTGGTAACCCAGCAACAGCTAGTTTCACTCGCTTCACAAGGGAGGTGATCTCCCCGACACCCAGGGCTCACTGGTGATTCAAAATTTTTGGAATAACTGAAGTATACGAAATCCAGTCTATGTGAGATCTACGCCACTACGCTCAACAGGCAGCATAAATCGTAGCAAAGCACATCGCGACAACAGCCAGCGCAAATCACTCCCGTTTCCGACACAAACTTAGACGCGTGGGGCAGTTTAGTGTAATTACACGTCCGAGCACTCGTCAGTTCGCCCTCTAACACGGCGAGCCCGCCGGACCCCTTCTCACAGCCTCGCCTCGTCGTCCGTCGCGTCGCCTCACCACGCGGCCTCTTCACGCCACCGTGAACGCGCACGCAGCGTCTCAAACTGCCGAACACGCACGATCACAGTCGCTTCCCAATCGCGCGGCCTCGCTACCACGTTTCCGCAGTAGCGGCGGCAGCCGCAATTGAGGTCGCGAGGGTAATCAGAAACAACTGCTCCCCATTACCTCTTCCCGCCTCCCCGTTTTCCCTTCCCGCTCCCCATTACCCCTTCGCGCCTCCCCGTTTCCCCTTCCCGCCACCCCATTTCCTCTTCCCGCTCCCCATTACCCCTTCCCGCCTCCCCGTTTCCCCTTCCCGCTCCCCATTACCCCTTCCCGCCTCCCCGTTTCCCCTTCCCGCCTCCCCGTTACCCCTTCCCGCCTCCCCGTTTCCCCTTCCCGCCTCCCCGTTTTCCCTTCTCGCTCCCCATTACCCCTTCGCACCTCTCCGTTCTCCCCAATTCCCCTTCCCGCCACCCCATTTCCTCTTCCCGCTCCCCATTATCCCTTCCCGCCTCCCCGTTTCCCCTTCCCACTCCCCATTACCCCTTCCCGCCTCCCCAATTCCCCTTCCCGCTCCCCATTACCCCTTCCCTCCTCCCCGTTACCCCTTCCCGCTTCCCCATTACCCCTTCCCCGCCTCCCCGTTTCCCCTTCCCGCCTCCCCGCTTCCCCTTCCCACTCCCGATTATCCCTTCCCGCCTCCCGATTACCCCATTTTCCCCCCATGCTCTCCCTCATTCCCCCCCCCCTTCTCCCTCTCATTCCCCCCATGAAGCCCCTCATCCCCCCCTTTCTCCCTCTCATCTCCCCCCCTGCTCCCTGTCATGTCCCCACCTTCTCTCTCTCATGTCCCCCCCTTCTCCCCCTCATTTACCCCCATTCTCCCTCTCATTTCTTCCCCTTCCCCCTCTTATATCTCCCCCTTCTCCCTCTCATTCCCCCCATGAAGCCCCTCATTCCCCCCCTTTCTCCCTCTCATTCCCCCCTCTGCTCCCTGTCATGTCCCCCCTTCTCTCGCTCATGTACCCCCCTTCTTCCTCTCATTTCCCCCCCTTATCCCTCTCATTCTCCCCCCTGCTCCCTCTCATTCCCCCCTTAACCACTCAGTTAAATGCCACGTAATCTCCCTCTCATTTCCCCTCATCCCCCCCACCTTCCCCTCTCGTTTCCCCCCATCTCCCTCTCCTTTCCCCACGTGCTCCTTCTCATTCCCCCCCCTTCTCCATCTCGTTTCCCCCCCGCTCATTTCCCCCCATCTCCTCTCATTTTCCCCCTCTTCCCCTCTCATACGCTTCTAACCCCTACCGTACCCTTGGATGGTCGCATGCCATACTCATCCATCCGCTGCCATACACTGCCACACCCTTCCATCTCCTCCCATACCCTTCCATACGCCAGCCAAGCCCGTCCCTCATTCTGCCATACCTTGCCATACTCTGCCATACCTTTCCTTCCATACCCTGCCATTCCCTTCCATTCCCTGCATTCGTGCAAGGGCATATGACTAGTCACGTGATTGGTATCGAGGAATCCAGGGTTGGGTGATAAAGGTTATGTATTTAGTGATACAATTGTAAGGACTCGTTTTATAAAACATGTTGTGAGGCTACGAGCTTGATTTTGGCCCTGAAGTGCCAAAAATGTACTAAATTTGGGAGTGTATGCATGCTTCTTGAATCACAAATGCATAGTAATAAATACGCAGGGAGCTGCCGCACAAGTTGCCGGCTGCTGTTGCGTGCCTGGCGTTGGTGTGCAGCAGAGGGGAGCGATGCATTGTGTGCTGCTTGGTGGACCTGCCGGTGAGAGGAGTGGGGGGGTCGGGGCTGAGAAAGGGACGAGGAAGGGGAAAAAGAAGGCACATATCAGGGTGAGCTCAAGCAAAGCCTGGAGAGAGTGCCCTTAGTCATCCAAGTGGCGTGAAAACGGTTGTCTAGGCAAGTCCCAAGGCATGCGACGGGACGCGCACAGTACCTGAGAGGCGTGAACGATGGGACAAAACTTGAGATGAGTCGAGCCCGCTTGCACCATCTGCCGCAGCAGCCTCGCCAACTCCTCCTCCTCCCTCTCCCTCCGCCTCGCTTCCTCATCGAGCCTCGCCTGCACCTCCTGTTGCTGCTTCAGTGCTACCTGATCACATATTGAAAAGGGAAGTGGTGACGCGAGGTTTGAAATGAGCGGTAGCAGTGCACATCAAACTAAGATTCACATCAAACAGCCGGCAATGGACTTATCCGCCCGCCCCACACTTGACCCCGCCCTCACCTGCATGTCATATGCAGGGGCACCAGAGGTTCAGCCCATGTTCCCCATCACAAACCCAATGTTCCCGATGCTGTAGCTGCCGCTGACGCAGCAGTGACAGCAGGGGCAACTGAAACCTTGGCAACTGGATCCAGTTGCCTGCACCTGCCATTACTCCTCCCCATTCACCCTCACACCCTGCTCGCTCCCCCGTCCACTGCTGACATGGCTGCTCAATCCGCAGGAGCAGAAGGATGGTCAGCACCGGGGCAGTTGCAGAAACACACGGGTTGGGGCCAACAGCCTGCGTCGGCAGTCCAAAGTCAAAGGAGTGGGGCGAACACTCCTTCCCACTGACTGCTCCTCGCCTCATGTCTCATACCCTCCTCCACCATGCCTTCCCCTCCTTTCCTGAGCTACCCCCTGCTCCGGGGGGAACACCAAAGGAAGGAACACTGGGTGTGGCAGCAGGGGCAGCTCCGGCAAAGGCAGCAGCAGCGGCAGTATGGGCAGGGACTGAAGGAGCGAGTGGGATCTCATGGGAGGTGAGATGACCCTGGAAGGAGGGGGGATGAGAAATTAAGGCATGGCGATGGGAGAGCGTGGAAGGGAGAATGAAAGGGAGGGAGTGGGGGGCAGTATTTTGCAAGGGATCCACCCTGTAAGGGAGGGAAGATGAAAAGGACGGGAGGGCAGTGGGGCTATGCCAGAGCTGGGAGGGAAATGAAGGGGAGCAAGGTGGGGAAAATAAGCGGAGAAGGGGGGGAAATGAAGGGGAGCAAGGTGGGGAAAATTAGGGGAGAAGCGGGGGAAATGAAGGGGAGCAAGGTGGGGAAAATAAGGGGAGAAGGGGGGGAAATGAAGGGGTGAAGGAGGGAAATGAGAGGGAAGCGGGGAAGCGAGAGTGAGCAAGGGTGGAAGTGAGAGGGAAGCGGGGAAGCGAGAGAGCAAGGGTGGAAGTGAGAGGGAAGCGGGGAAGCGAGAGTGAGCAAGGGTGGAAGTGAGAGGGAAGCGGGGAAGCGAGAGTGAGCAAGGGTGGAAGTGAGAGGCGGCAAGGGGGGAAATGAGAGGGAGAAGGGGGGGAGATGAGAGGAGTAAGGGGGGAAATGAGAGGGAGGAGGGGGGGAGATGAGAGGAGCAAGGGGGGAAATGAGAGGGAGAAAGGGGGGAGATGAGAGGAGCAAGGGGGGAAATGAGAGGGAGAAGGGGGGGAGATGAGAGGAGCAAGGGGGGAAATGATTGGGAGAAGGGCTGGAATGAGGGTGAGCAGGGGGCGAAGTGAGAGGGAGAAGGGGAATATGTCAGTGAGAGCAGGGGGCGAAATGAGATGGAACAAGGGGGGAAATGAGAGTGAGCAAGGTCGGAAGTGAGAGGCGGCAAGGGTGGAAATGAGGGGAACCAGTGGGGGAAGTGAGAAGGAGCAGGAGGGGAAATGAAGGGGAGCAGTGGGGCAAATGAGAGGGAGAAGGGGGGGAAATGAGGGCGAGAAGGGGGGGGGGGGGGGCTGAGGGGAAGAAGGGGGGGGGATGAGGGGGAAGAATGGGGGGAATGAGGAGAAGGTTGGGATCTGAGGGGAAGAATGGGGGGAATGAGGGGGTGAAGGGTGGGAACTGAGAGGGAGAAGGGGGGGAAATGAGGGAGAGAAGGGGGGAAAAAGAGGGGGAGAAGGGGGGGAAATGAGGGGGAGAAGGGAGGCATAAGGAGAGGGAGTAGGGGGGGTAGTGAGGGGGAGAAGGGGGGAGGGGGGGTAATTAGAAGAGGATGCGCTTAGCGGGAGAGGCGCCACGCGGGCGCTAAGCGGGAAAGGTGCGCAGCGGGTGCGGCGCTAAGCGGGAGAGGGTGAGGCGACACGCGGGAAAGGCGCGCAGGAGGTGAGGCGCTACGCGAGAGAGGTGCGCAGCGGGTGATTCGTTGCGCGGGAGAGGCGCGCAGCGGTTGCGGAGCTAAGCGGGAGAGGCGCGCAGCGGGTCAGGCGCTAAGCGGGAAAGGCGCGCAGAGTGATACGCTAAGCGGCATGGCGCGCAGAGGGTGAGGCGCTAAGCGGGAGAGGCTCCCAGCATTGGAGGCGGTAAGCGGGAGACCCGCACAGTGGGTGAGGCGCTAAGCGGGAAATGCCTACCGAGCGGGTGTTGAGAGTGGCCGCGTGGCCAACGCATGGACGATGCGATCCCGCCGTCGGCCCCGTAATTTTCAATCGCTTTACGGCTTACTCGATCGCACCGACCCAGCGTGGTGATGCAACCCGTCGAGGCGCCCTTGACAGGGCTTCGACGGGGCCCATCAATACAGCACGACGCGCTCGACGAATGCAGAGCCTTTCCCTCTCCGATTGCCGCTGAACGGCGCAGCAGTGGAAAGGAGCTGGCGGGCAAGCTAGATGTATTTTCCCACTCGCACAAGCCTATAATGTACCTAAACTCATCTCACATGAGAATATCTGAGCGGTTTCGATGCTCCGCATGTTCTTTGTCGCGCCCCGGTTCCTCTATCTATGCTTAGCGTACATTAGTCGCTTATCATGGTTCCTAGTGGAAGTGTGACTGCAAGGTTGGGTGACGGGGGAGTTTCCCGTGTTTGGAACTCCTCAAAGCTGCAATGTTTCGCCAAACCTCTCGCCACGCTCAGTTGTTTCGTTCTGGCGATTTTTTCCCTGGCTACAGTGCAAGTCCAAACAGTACTTGCAAATGTATACTTCAGCTTTAAGAGGCCACTCTTGGCACATGCAGAGAAGCGCCCACACATGCACAACGTGACACGAGAGGTGTGGGAGCGAGTGCGGTGGCATGCGGTGGCGAGCACGTGACGACTCACCTCCTGCAGCTTGTTCCCCGGCTGCACCTCCATCGTCCCCAGGAACTTGGCCGCCACTCCTGGCACCGTGCGCTGATGCATGCACGCACACATGACCTCATGCGTCCGTCCAGCCATGCACCATTAACACATGGACCCATGCAACCATGCACACATGCAGCCATGCACCCATCCAACCATGCACCCACCCAACCATGCACCCATCCAACCATGCACCCATCCAACCATGCACCCATCCAACCACCCATCCAGCCATGCATCCATACACGCACAAGCATGCAATAACGCAAAGGTAGACACTCGATTGCGATTGAGTAACCAGGTAACCGTTCACATGAGCACCTCAGCAGTATCTATACGCGGTGGTTCAACAGCTTTTCAACTTCTTCTCTGCCACGTGAAGGCATGGCTCCTATCTGGGGCTCCCATCACCTCACCTGCAGCCGGTGGTTCATCACACCTCACCTGCAGCCGGTGGTTCATGAACAGCTCCACGTCTTGCATCTCGTCCGCGCCCGCGCCCGCCGCCTTGCGCTTCACCACCACGCGCTGCGGCTGCCCGCGCGGCCCGGCGACGGTGGCCTCGTAGACCACGCCGAAGTTGCCGTGCCCCAGCTGCCGCCCCACGCGCACCTCCGAGGGGGAGAACCGCCTGCCGCCGCCCACGGGGGGGCAGGGGGAGACGCGCCATGGAAAGGGGCGTTTGGGGAGTGAGGGGAGGGAGCAGTGCAGCGTGGATTGTGGCGCGATCGCCGCTCAGTGCGCGATCGCCTCTCTGTACCTGAAGGTGACGGTGTGACCGTACCTAAGGTGACGGTGTGACTGTACCTGAAAGTGACGGTATGGAGGGGCGCGACGAGGAAGTCGAGGAGGCCCATGGGGCCGGAGGGCGGCGCGGAGGCGTACGCCAGCAGCAGCGCGACGGACGCGATCCACTCGCGCAGAGCCACCTGCCACGCGCACCACCGCAAGCACGTGAGCGCGCAAGCAAGAGGCGCAACGACTCGCGGATTGCGGATGCATGGGACGGAAAGAGGAGAAGGCGGGGGCGCGAGGGCACTCACGGGGTCGTCCAGCGGAATGCCTGCGGACGCCGCGAGCTGCGCCACCTCGTGATGCACGCTCGCTATAGTCACGTCCATGCCCAGCGGCACCCTGAGACGCACGAGGATGTGGGCGCAGCGCAGGGGGGTGGTGGGTTGGCGGCGAGCGCAATGCCCCTAAGGCTACGACCAGCACGTGCTACGCGCCAAGCGACATGCGACCCGCCGAGCACTGGAAAATGATGTCGTACTCATCAGCCCCCCCACCTGCATAAAGCGCTAATGAGACGATGATGGCTGGCGCAAGAGCGGGCAGCGGGCGGCACTCACCCGTGCAGCAGCGCGTCCGCGAGTTGCCCGTACACCGAACCCACGCCGTCGAGCGCAGCAGCGGGAGGAGGTGCGCGGAAGGGGCGGGATGGGCGGAGGCAAGGTTGGCGAGGCGCGGAGAGTCGGGGGCGGAGGAAGAGAGAGCCCGGGAGCGACGGACGGCCTACGGTAAGCGCGCAGTGTGGTGCGGCGGAGAATGCGGCAGCCGCGAGTGTTGGCGGACGGGGAGCGGAGGCGCCATGACATGGTGAACAAACTGCGCTCATCGTGCCCCTTGGTGTCAGCTGAGGGCCCAACGCTGTTTCTGCCATTCTTCCGTGGTATATATAATTAAACGTTTAAAATCCACCGTCCACAATAGCATAGGACGGTGATCGGCAAGCGTTCGAGGAATCGCGACGGCAGCACAACAACTTCCTTGTGCTGCAGAATTACGTCGTTTCGACTAAGTGATGAGACGGTGGTTAGATCCTGTGTAGGTGAGCACTGCGACCTCTCGATCAGAAGTAGCGGATTCGACTACAGCAACTGGAAACATGAAGAATGAAAGGGTTGTTGATGGTCGCTGTCAATGCCACCCCTGTCGCGTGCATCAAAACGGTGCGGGTTCGGGCAAGTTATCGTTACACCAGGTTCTGCTGCCCGCGCAATTCGTTGCACCCCAGCTGGGTTTTGTCTCAACTTCCCGCTAGCTGTGTCCATCCCGCCGTTCTTTCCCCCCAAACCGTCTGATTTCCCTCCAGCCGTTCGCATCCCCGCCATGATCACCCGTGCGAAGCCCAGTGTTTGCGATTGCGCACTCTTTCCCGCACGCGCAAGCCTTGGACGGGCGCACGCACAAGGTGGTCTGCTTCCTTGCCAAGTCAGCGCGACAGCTGACAGTGCTCTTTCCTCTCAGCGCTGCGCTTCTATTGGCCCAATGTTGGTCGGTAACCATTGCAAATCGCCGCGTGTCGAAGTCGTGCTCCACTCATGGATTCTTGCCGCGAAAACAACCACATTCTGGTCACGATTCGTTGTTGGCGTTTTGTGTGAGGCCTTCGTCCCAGTAATACTCCATATCCCTATTTAGTCATGAGTACCTACGTGTATACTTCAAAACGAATCGAATTTATGCAGATATTCATAGACGCTTTATTGAACTACAGCTTCCATTCGAGAGCATAGCTATAGAGATGATCACCAAAACACCTAAGCCTATTAACTAGCTCACAAGGCATGAGCCAAGTCATATACATGCTGGCATAAAATACGTGCTGGAAAGAACTACACCGGTTGCTTAACCTCGATGTCGGGTTTTGGGACAACTTCATAGAGCGTGATGCTGGTGAGGGAGATGGGGACGGCATTGATGGTGATGTCAGTGGCGGAGAGGGTGGCGTTACCCGGCACTTGCACGTTCATCTGGTCGATCAGCTCATAGTCCTCCTTCACTGACGTGCGGTGCACGTGCATCAGCACGGGCACAGACGGGTCCCTGGGGATAAAATCTTGCACTCTGAGGGTGAGAAGGAAGTCCTTGAATGACTGGTTTGTCACGAGGATGGTCAGACGCTTGTGCTGGGGGCTGTAAGCCGCCACCACCCCGTGCTCGCACTTGGTCACCATGTCCACGATGCGTGCCCCTGGGGGCACCGCACGAGCAAAGTGCTTCATCACATAGTACTGCTTGCTGAATGCCAGAACAATGCTATCCACGCTCTCTCCGCAATCCCCGTTAAACCGGACGAGCCCCCACCCGCGGTTTTTGGGTTCCACGGCCATCCAGTAGTACCAGGCGGCGACCCCCATGATGTTGATGTGCTCCGTGACCGTGCGCGCCATGTACATGGCGAGCTGCAGGTCCGTGCCCAGCGTGTCGATGGGCCCCCACTCCGACTGCCACACCTCCTTGCCAATGCTGGCAGCCGTCTCGCGCATGTCTTTGTACTGCAGCCCGATCTGCCACGACTCGGGGAAGTGCTTCGACTGGTACCCGTGCACGCAGATGTGGTCCACCTTGGCCCACGTCTCGGGCCTTAGCGCCTCCGTGGGCGACTTCATGCTGCGCACCATATACGCCACCCACGAGTCCGCCACCGAGATGCGCGTCGGCAGCCCGCGCGCCTGCAGCGCGTCCGCCAGCAGCGCCACGATCACGTCCACGTCGTTCACGCTCACGGAGCACCCCTCGCGGGGCCTGCCAGCGCGCCACCAGCCCTCGAGCGCCTCGTTGAAGGGGTTGATGAACTCGAAGGTGATGTTCCACGCGGGGTCCGAGTGGTACTGCTGCATCACGTCCACCAGGTATTCCACGAACGCCCCCCGCTGCTCCGGCCGTATGTTGGGCCGCCCGTCGTGGCCGCCCGACGTGTCCCCGCTGACCGTCATCCACCAGGGCGGCGAGTACGAGATCGCCTCAAAGTGCTGCACGCCCATCCGCTTCGCCGCCAGCATCACCTTGCGCTGCCCCGCGTCCGCGGACCAGTTGTAGGGCGCGAGGGGACCCTCTTTGAAGGCGTGCATGGGGTGCTTGGTGGCTGCGATGGCGGGCGAGAACATGGCGTTGAAGCCGCCCGGGATGGCGTAGCGCGCCATGGAGAGCCCCAGCCCCTTGTCCGCGTCGAACACCAGGTCCATCAGCCGCCCCATGCACCACTCCGGCAGCTCCCCCGCCTGGTTCGCCCACCTGCGCGCGCCGGAGGGGGAGGGCGCGGGGGAGAGGGGGAGTGGGGTATGGGTGGATGAGGGGGGTGAAAAGGGATGAACGAGGAGGATGCAAGAGACGGGAGGGAGGGCTGTGGGAGGAAGTTGGTGGAGGGGAGTTTGTTGGGAGACATGTTGATAAATTCATCATTCCCATGTCTAACATGCATCGACAGGTCTTACCGCACATTCCCCATGTCTCACCATGCGCCATTTCTCACCATGCGCCATGCCTCACCATCATGTGTCACCATGCATCACCGTGTCTCACCATGCATCACCGTATCTCACCATGCGAGCGAGGTGCCCCAGCCTTTCCACGTGGTGGCGGTGAAGTCGGGTCGCACGTACACGTAGTCGTACCCTGCACGCACGCACGCACCACACAGCCACGCCGCGCATTGGAATTAGCCATGGATCAACGCACTTGCTTAGCAGTCAGCGACGAGCGACGCGGGAGAGCTCCTGCACGAGCGACAGGATTCGAGTGCAATGAAAGCCTCTTCTCTTGCTTATCGCACGATTCATTATGTTTCACTCGTCTCCTCGTTTTACTTGTGTACGCGCACGTCGCTCGTTCTCACCTTGAGTGTCGCACGTCGCTCGGCCTACCTTGGTTGTCGCACGTGTGGTATCGCTCCGTCTGCTTCTGGTCGTACAGCACCGTCCAGTTGAACTCCCACTCTCCCTCCCGCCCCTCGTATCGCGCCTGCGACGGGCGCGTGAGATTCGACAGCTCGGGCATGGGGATGGGGTCGTCCGCGCGAGACGGCTTCGGCGGGGCCGCAGGGGCGGGCGCGGGGGCGGGAAGAGAAGAATTGCTTGGCGGGGCGGCGGTTTGGTTGAGCGAGATGATGGGATCCTTGGGCTGCAGGGGCGTGGTGACGGCGGATGCGTTGAGCTCGGAGGCAGCGGTGGTGGGGGAGGCGGGGGTGGGCGGGGGGGAAGAGGAGGGCTTGAGGGTGAAGAGCAGCGCGACGAGCGTGGCGACGCCGACGACGAACAGCAGCTGAATGCTGGCCAGCGCCCACCGCCACCGGTGCTGCTGCTTTGGGTCGCCCGGCAGACACAGCATGCGGTCGCAGTCCACGGACCCGCATGGCGGCGTGCACCCGCACCTCGCGGGGGAGCTGTTGTGCGCCGCTTGCTGCGACTCCGCCATCACGGGGAACTCGCCGTCGGGCGCAGCCGCCGCGTCGGCGAGAGGGGCTGTGGCACTGGAAGGGACCGCATCTTCTACAGTAACTACCGTATCGCCTTCGGCACTACTGGGCGGGTCGGCCATGATTGCGCCTGCCGATTCTAGTAACTACGGGGCGGACTTGCTGCGTGTCAAGGGAAATATTCAGTAGAGCCTACTTGGTAGCATTAGCTCGTACACGATGGGGAATGGATGATGTTGGATTTGGTTCCGTTGTGCATGGAAGGAACGGGTTGAATCGAACTCGTTCCATATGCGCGGGGAGCGAAGGAATGCATTGGGTTGGAACTGGGAATGAGGGGAGGGGCGAATTCGACACACACGCACGAGTGGGGAGGGGAGAATTGAGAATGGAGATGCGATGGCGGAGGGAGGGATGTTTGGCGGGGAGGCGGACATAGCAGTCAAAGTGCTGCGCGGACTTGTGGACGGGGAGGAAGAGGCGAAGCGCGGAACAGTACCAGGTGGGTGGGTGGACGGAGCGATGAGATTTGGCGGCTTTCATGGCTGTGGGAAAGGAGAAGGCGCCATGCGTGCGACCACTATTGGTTGGTGCGACGCCGAAGGTCCTTTTGCACCTTGCTTGGGTTTTGCAACTCAGGTAGGCTTGGCCCCCCCGAACGAACACGCTTTACATCCATTGGTTGATCGCAGCCTTGGAAGTTTTGAGCCCCACCAGGTCTGGTTGTGAAGGAATGCGTGGCGATGCCGTCACCCCTAGGAAGGCGGCGGTTTGGCGAAGTGTGTACTGTACCGTGTCGACTACACGCAACTGCATTTCATGCGAAATAACTAGATTTTCAAAGAGGTCGGGCAGGAGCTTACCTTACATCAATATTGGTTCCTACTAGTTTTTTCTCAGAAAGTGAATGCAACGGAATGTTTGACTTAGGAGAGCAAGGCATACAAATAGAAACCCTAAGAGTGTTGTACTCCTTAGAGTGCTACTCACTGCAGCCTACAACCAATAACAACATTTGACACACCCCCGTAGGCTAAGTGAGTGTCAAATGTTGTTATAGTCTCTTAGGCTACAGTGAGTAGCACTCTAAGGGGTACAACTCTATTTGTATGTCTTGTTTCTCTAGTTTCAGATCATTCCGTTGCTAACCACTCTTGAGATGGTATCACGAGCAGGACCGTTCCTAGCCCGTTCATAGCCTAGTGTTCACCCTCCGCGCCCTCCGCGCCTAGCTCGCGCCCTCCGCGCCCTCCGCGCTTAGCTCGCACCTCCGCACCCATTGTGCCTCCGCGCCTAAACCGCGCCACTCCACCCACCGCGCTTAGCTCGCACCTCCGCACCCATTGTGCCTCCGCGCCTAAACCGCGCCACTCCACCCTCCGCGCCTAGCCCGCGCCCTGCCCCTAGCCCGCGCGACGCCCGTAGGCTCTGCCCCAGCCCGTCGCGACGCCCGTAGGCTCTGCCCCAGCCCGTCGCGACGCCCGTAGGCTCTGCCCCAGCCCGTCGCGACGCCCGTAGGCTCTGCCCCAGCCCGTCGCGACGCCCGTAGGCTCTGCCCCAGCCCGTCCCGACGCCCGTAGGCTCTGCCCCAGCCCGTCGCGACGCCCGTAGGCTCTGCCCCAGCCCGTCGCGACGCCCGTAGGCTCTGCCCCAGCCCGTCGCGATGCCCGTAGGCTCTGCCCCAGCCCGTCACGACGCCCGTAGGCTCTGCCCCAGCCCGTCGCGACGCCCGTAGGCTCTGCCCCAGCCCGTCGCGGCGCCCGTGCGCCCTGCCCGTTGCCCACGCGCGGCCCGTACACCCTAGCCCGTCGCCCCAGCCTTCGACCTATCCCGCCCATTCCCACCGTCAAAACCGCCCTCCCGCCCATTCCCACCGTCAAAACCGCCCTCCCGCCCATTCCCACCGTCAAAACCGCCCTACCCGCCCATTCCCACCGTCAAAACCGCCCTCCCCGCCCATTTCCACCGTCGCAAACTCCCCCCCCCGCCCCTCTCTTCCTGTTACCCACCCTTGGCACGCGCCCTAGCCCCGCCACCGCCTTGTGCGCGGGGCCCTCCCCAGCTCTACTGGCACTGGTCTATCACCTAGCGGCTGGCAGCCGCTCTCTCTCGCCGCCCGCCTAGGTTCGAGCCGTTTAGCCGCTAGTATCGCGCCTAGCCTAGGTCACTCAGTGCTCCTAGCCTCTCACTCCGCCGTTCTCCCTCCTGGCGCTCCGTAGGTTTCCTCCTCGTTCTTAGCTCAGCCTCTGCCGAGCTCCAGCCGCCTCTAGCATGGCATCAGTCATGGAGTCTCGCCGCCTCCGTTTCGACGCGGAGGGACGCCCGATAGAGTTTAGCACCTGGCAGCGCCAGACCACGCGCTTCCTCACTAGCCAGCGGCAGGACGGCGCCACTCTGTGGGCTCACGCGTCTGGTGCCCTACAGGCCCCCCCGTCCCCCGCCGCCCTGCCGACCGCCCCGGAGCCGACCCCTACGGCCCAGGCGGACTACGACCGTCGGGTCCTGGCCAGGGACGTGTGGCTCTCGCGTGACGCAGCCGCCGCTCTCACTCTGTCGGAGCTTCTCCCCCCGACTGAGGCCGCCCACTTTGACCAGGTGGAGACTGCACAGGGGGTTTGGGAGGCTATTGTTGCTCGCTACTCCACCCCCTCCTCTGCCTCCCTCAGTCGCCTCCTCATGCCGTTTGTGTTTCCCGACCTAGGCTCGTTTGCGACTGTTTCCGACCTAGTGACTCACCTCCGCTCGCTTGACGCCGGTTTCCGCGCTGCCTGTACCGACGCACAGCTTCTTGTTGCTCCCCCCCCCATGTGGCTCACTGTTCACTGGTTAGTCACCCGCCTCCCTGACCGCCTTGCCACTGCCCGCGACGCGCTTCTTCAGAAGCACCCCACTGAGCTCACTATCGACCTCCTAGCGACTGCTCTAGGGACCATCGAGAGCAGTCTCCTCACCGTTGCCTCCGCCACTGATGCGGTGGCCCCCCGTCTCTTTGCGGGGTGTGCCGCCCCTCAGCTTCCCACTTTCACCGCTACCCGCGCTTCTGCTGCTGTGTCGGTCTCTGAGGACACTGCTGCCGTTTCTGCCGCAGACTGGCAGAAACGGGGCAAGAGTGGCAAGAAGGGCGGGAAGGGGGGAGGTGGGGGCGGTGGAGGCGGCGGTGGAGGTGGCGGTGGAGGTGGGAGCGGCGGTGGTGGCGGAGGCGGCGGCGGCGGCGGCGGTGGTGCACCAGGGGGAGGGGGCCTTGGAGGAGGTGCAGGACAGACAGGCCCACCCACAGGTGGTGGCCCGACCGGTGGGGGCGTTGCCCCCCAGCAGCAGCAGCCACAGCAGCACCAGCCACAGCAGGGACAGCAGCAGCAGCTGGGACAGCAGCAGTAGCAGGCACCGCAGCAGTTCCAGCAGTGGGGGCCCCCGCTGCAGTGGGGTCCGCAGCAGCACTGGGGTCCCCCGCCGCAGTGGGGTCCGGGAGGCCCTGGGAGCACCGGCCGCAGCAGCAGCTCTTCCAGCTGGGCCCCTCGCCCCCCTCGCCGTGACGCTGGCCCCTGCACCCACTGGTGTGTCACCGGGCCGGGCAGCCCCTGTCTCTGTGGTCGCGACGACCACTCTGCCGCGCGGTGCTTCCGCCGCCTCGACGACCTCTACCGGGCTCGTTGGGGCCCTCTGGCGGTCACGCCTCGCTGGTCTCGTCTGTTAGCCCGTAAGATTGATGTCTTTGATCTGTCCATGGACGATGCGCGTCAGCATGCTTTGTATGTTGATGCTGACTTTAGTGCTGATGGATCTGTGTGCTCGCGTGTTCGTAGGTTAGCCTGCTTGCCTCCTGCTAGTGTAGCCTTGTGCCTGTCTAGCTTAGGTGCTTGTGTTGCTGCTCTAGGTGCTTGTGTAGCGACTGGGTCTGGTGACCCTCCGGCTGAGGCCTCTCTGTCGTTCACGCTGGACTCGGGCGCGTCTCAGTGCTTCTTCCGCGACCACACGACCCTTACGCCACTCCTCACACCTGTGTCGGTGGCTCTGGCTGATCCTACCTCTGGACCAGCCGTTGCGCGTAGCTCCACCACCCTCCCGTGCCCTGTGGTCCCCTCTGGTGTCCTGCGCGGCCTCCACATCCCCTCGTTCACTCGGAACTTGGTGGGTGTTGGATACCTCCAGGACAGGGGGATCACGGTTAACTTCGTGGGGGGTGGGCTGACTGCAGTCTGTACAGACGCTACCACAGGTGCTGTTCTAACCACGTTCACCAGGGAGCCCCGCTCCGGTCTCTACGTCCTCCACACCGAGCGCTCCCCGGTCGCGTCCTCCCCTCAGGTCGTTGCGTCCCCTCCGGCCCAGGTCCCCAGTCCAGTTGATGTGTCTAGCCAGGTAGTAGTGTCCGGTCCGGTCGCTGTGTCCAGTCCAGTCGCTGCGTCTTGCTCCTGTCGCTCTCTCACCCACCGCACCGTCCTGTGGCACCACCGCCTTGGCCACCCGTCGCTCCCTCGCCTACGTGGCATGCTCAGTCAGGGACTTGTCTCAGGTCTCCCACGCACCTTCCCGACGCTCCCTCTCTCGCCTGCCCCTCCTTGCTCTCCGTGCGTCGCCGGTCGCTTACGCGCCACTCCCCACTCCTCCTCCCTTCGTCCGGCCACCGCTCCTTTCGAGCCTCTCCACTTGGACGTCTGGGGCCCTGCCCCGACGCAGGGGTCTGGGAGGGAGCGTTACTTTCTGTTGGTCGTCGACGACTTCTCCAGGTACACCACAGTGTTCCCTCTTGCGAAGAAGTCCGAGGTGACTGCTACGCTGATCAGGTGGCTTCTAGCCACTGAGGGCACTCGTGGTCGTCGAGTCAGTTGTCTCCACTCCGACCGTGGGGGCGAGTTTCGCTCCGGCATTCTCGGCGGATTCTGCGGCGAACAGGGCATCACCCAGTCTGACCCTGGTTCTGCGGAGTCCACTCCGCCTCCCCACCGCCACGACACACGACTCCAGGCTGCCCGCCGGCGTGAGCGTGAGGAGCAGGAGCGGTTGGAGAGGGAGCGGCAGGAGCTGCGGGTGCTGGACCTTCTGGAGCAGCAGCGGCAGCAGCAGCAGCGGCAGCAGCATCAGCAGCAGCAGCAGCAGCAGCCGCAGCAGCAGCCGCAGCAGC